TGGCACAGACAGAAGCTGAACAATACCAGAAATACTAGTACACCATCGGCGGAGGCTTGGATGCCTAATGAATTTGTTTTGTATATATTATTTACCCCCTCCCCCTGATTTCTTTCGATAAATGAACAGCTATTCCTGTGGCCTTTTCCTCGTGTCTCGGTTACGTGGGGTACTGCATGCAAGTATGATCCAGTGCTCACGCTGCGTCCGTGATTGCTAGTCCGTGATTTCTAATTCGTGATTCGTACTTCGTGATCAGTGCAAACTACGATTGCTACACCTCGATTCGAGATTGATGACTACTCTTACTACCACACCTCAACAGAACAACATGAGTAGAGTAGAAGCTCGATGTTAGGTACCATCTTTATTGTAGGTCAAGCCTTAGAGATAACGCAAGTTGAGCGACTGCGCGTCCCAGTTTCCGGAAATGGGACCATGGGTGACAGTATTGATCACTCAATGGCTATACGGTCGAAGCGGAAATTGCGTGACTCTGAGAGCAAAAACGGCATTTGGTTTATGCCCGTTTGACCAATAATATTTCTATTGACGTCTTATTTAATCCCGTGGATTTCTCTCAGTAAATGAACCGCTAATTATGCGGCCTTTGTCCTACATCTCGTTGACAGGAGATCCCACCATAACGTTGCTCAAACGATTCTTTGCTTCATTTGTCACTTCGATTCGCGATCTGTGAGTCATCACACACTGGACCTTCTTTGCACTCTGGGAGAAATTCCGGCAGCCACAACTTGATGAACTCGATCTGTCTCAGTGAGCTCCACAAGTTGGATGGATGTGCTGCATGCATATAGAACGACAGGGATGAAAAGATTATTTATCAGTCTATTTCAGAAAATGAAAACATTCAGCTCCTTTTGGAGTTGCAGCGTCTTGCGATGGATCACATCAATGATAAATAACGGTTCTTCTGTACCTTTTCTCATCTGAATCATGTAACAAACGATTTGGGTAAAATTACTTACACCAGTTATTCCTTCGAGATCGAATCCAGCAAACACTGAATCGGATTGGATGACGGGAATAATAATATTGGCGTTAGGTTTAAACCACTAGGTTTCAAGGCGTCGTGATTAGTCTGGTAAAAGAATTAGGTAGTCAGCCTAGGGATCATGGCATAGAAATTGGGTTCGAATTTAATCTTACTCCTGAATGGAAATACTGTTACTTCTCGCTAGGTAGCTCACTTTGCTTTTTTGCAGATTAATCAGTTCGTTCCAATTGAACTGAGGTTGTTACAGCCCGGGACCAATAAGGGACTTGTGACATCTGAAGCACCTACCACAGTGTGAAATTTACATTATAACGCAAGTAAAGTACCAGTAACTGCACTTCTTCAGCTTCTCACCCGTGGCTTACAAACGTGGTCTTGTGAGAATTCAACTTCATAGAGGACAACATATTTTTTGTTCTCCGGTTCGATTTTGAGAAAAACAATTTATAAAAACGTGACTATGCAACGGTTAATCATGAATGTTCATTGTTATTCGTAATAAATAAACTCAGAAATGAAGCCCGTCTAAAATTGCACTCCAAAAAGCTATCTATGGCAACCTACTGTAAAGTTTGCGCTAAACATTGAAGTCAGCTTTAGGCCGCAGAGTTCTAGCTGCCCAACTATGATTTAATACCTGTATTCGCGAAATTGATATATACGACTATAAACATCAATGACAAACCAGTTTTTTCCATCAAATTGAGTACCAGTTCATTCGCATTTGCGCTGACATACAAGCGCAAATGAAACCATCAGCTATCCGGACGAATAACCCATCTGCGCGGTGACATCCCTCCTGGTGGACGCATCACTGATAAAGTACCGACACGTATATAGATGGTAATTTTCAATTTAGGACACCGGTGGCGTCGTCGTAAAATCCAGTTGTCTGTGGAAAGTCGAGTGTATCCTGCAGCAGTTCGGTCAGTGCTGCTTTACAGCACAGAAATGAGGACATTGCATAAAAGAGAATAAAGGCAGAGTATCGCTGTTCGACTAGCGCTGTCTATGAAGCATTGCACAAGTGTGATAGGAAAAGCGGAGAAGTAATGTTGAGGCTTGATGCTTGCTCACTCGATCAATTGGTCAACCTCCATAGCACATCTGTTGCGCATGCGTCAAATTCATTGCCACCGCGCGTGCTGTTTACTTGAGCAGGTGATAGGTGGAAAAATCAAAGGGTGTTCAAATAAACACTAGTATGATGGCGTAAAAACTCTAACCGGGATACCTGCTCACGTAGGTTGCGTTAGGCTTCCTGAATGCGGACATCGGGATCAGCATAATCAATGGTTGGAGACACTGAGTGGTATGACTGAGTGTCTTATACAGTGACGCTCCTTCATCTTCTCAACTTGTTGGCAACCTTGGTCCTCGTGATTCTCTATTTTACTCTAACACTGATTTGAACATCCCAGTCTTCCCTTCATCCAAACAGGCAGTCATGAGACGGCAACCAAATATGGCACACAAAAGTGATTATAAAAGCTGAATTGAACTGAGTGGCAGCATACAGATTTATGTATGACTGTTGAGCGCTGCTGACTATCTACGCAAAACGAGTGCTAGAAGAGACCCGATAATTCGGCGGGTTCGAAGACCTTACTGACGGTCACTGAGTGTTCTGTTCTGTTATAGTGAACGGTGGATTTGATCACAAACGACTGATTCCTTAACGTTTGTGACACGTGGTGTGAGAGAGATGGGACTATGGTTATTGGGATCTGAGATATCGTCGCTTTTGGAAGTGGGAAATACTCGCAGACTTGATGAGTAGACAGAACAAGCGGCATAGAAGAGGAGGGGGCGCAAACTTTGTGGTAGGTGCGTGAATCCCATTGGACCCTAGTGATATTCTTGCGTGTGTGTTTGTGTGCCTAATGGTGACGGAATTATCCGCATGAATTTGGTGGAAGTGAGTGCTATTGAATGATGATTTACTTTTGAGAAAGTGGATGATTGGATGGGTGAACCGGTTTGAGTTAAGTAACTAGCAAATTGCTAGAGTGAAACGTCGCTGTTTTCTAGCGAGTCACACACTGATTCACCAAATGGTGTTTCGAAGGGGAAATGTGTGGAACGAAATAGCAATCCAAAGGGTGATTGCAAATAAGACTCTATTGCCAGAGTAAATTATATATTGGACAAAATACCGTTGAATTCTATCCTACTAATATGAGTATTGCTGTGTCTCATCCAAGTTAGAATCGCGTATAAAGTAACTTTTATACTACCAAACTGCACATCCAATTTGCTTCCTGCCATATACACAGGGATATTAGCACGTTGGGAGCCGACGGGCCAAGTGGATGGATCCAAACAATCAATCAGGCGAACGGTATTCTATGCACTAACCAAGTTAACACTGAGCCTTTGTGCACTGAATAATAGCACTCCACCTAAGGACGCCTGTGGCATGGGACTGGACAGGAGCCCAGATCTTCCCCACGTGCGTTATGACCACTCACCGGACCCAATATATTCTTGCTCCACAAACTGCAATTATTTTCCCTCGTAGAAGAATGATAATGTTCATTCTCAAATTTTCACTGTACTATACTTCCGTCAACGGCTGGGGATAAACGAATCTATAAGTTGCCCTATATATCGTCGTGATTACTGAACTGTCTGACTCCTAAAATACATCTTTCGATTTACACTATTTCAGAAGTTCGTGCATCGCATTCAGGAAGACAATCAGGAAAGTCTACCGACAGCCGTAAACATCATGAAATCAATGTACGTTGTGAAGCATGATTAGTATCAAGGAAATCTAGGCGATCACCAGGGCTTACATCGATGCCGGGCTGGGGAATGGATCTCAAACCCAGTCAATTGTTTATCGGCCAGTGATAAATAAATCCTAAACCGGCAGCAGTATAGCAATAAGGTAAGAACCAAACCCCGGTTAAAAGTTGCGAATATATAATAGATTGTCTGAGTGCCTTAATAACGGGAGTGATCTTCACGACAATTTCAAGAGACCCACTAACAGATGCTATGAACGACTATGGAACTTTGGTACTCAAGCCCTTATACTGGGAATAATAACAGTTGCTTTATTAAAGACACGAAAACGGCCGGGTAATGGCGTGTTGGGGTGGGGATCTACGACGTGCACTCATATACATGCATCACTCGTTTTTTGTTCATCTGGTGGTACACTCTGTTTTCGATTTACTATTGCGCTGGAATATAGCTTAGTTTGAACAAAGGTTGCAGGAAACCTATACTGCAATAAAGTTGTATATTACGGTTCAAAGGGAAGGCAGTGATTACATGTCATTCTTATCTTGATACAAAGACTTTAGGCCTCAGCGGTCTTAAAATGCTTAAACTAACTTCTTGTTTCTACTTCTTACTCGCAGAAATTCAATCCGACTGAAATTTAAGTAAGCACTTGAAAAATTCATGCAAATACAGTAAAAAAGTGAATAATTACTTCAAGTTAACTCTTTCTCTTATTGTCAAATAAGCTGAATTACGACGGGTTGTGCATCTAGCCTTCCATTGCTACTCAGCAGTCCGCAATCGACCCAAGTATTACTATCGATCAATTTGAATCTACCAGTAGACCAGAGACTGATATTTCAAACCCAATGGACCTATACCACTTGCTATGCCAGAGTTAATTTCAATGTATCCGGGAGAGCACCCAGCAATAAGCACTTCGTTAGGCATAGTAATCCTTTCATTCTTCACATTTATCGTGTGCTATCAGCTCCGAATTGTGCGATGTGCTCCATGCGACACATTACCAAAGTATTTGTTTGATGGAAACTATATTGATTATCACTTTGATGACTGGCGCTACTTGTGGATACGTATGCTTAAGCCACAAAGCTCCATGGTCTGACGAGTCACGAAACCAGCCAAAGTTGATGAGTTTAAAGCATACGATATGATTTCAGGAGAAACGTTACTGGAATGTTATGAGGACAACCCAGTAAATGACAATTGTTGCCTACTGGATTCCTATATGGAAAACTTCACTGAAACGTGCAACTTTGCCCTCATTGTTCCGTTGCAGGACAAATCATATTACACTGTACAGTTTGTACAATCTCCTAACATCACCTCCAGCAACACGTTGGGTATACACATGCAACTGAACTCACCGGACGGTTTGAGACGATATGCACATCTTCATATGACAGATCCGTCAAAGCAACTTTGTCCGGAATTTTTTCGCGTTGGACATACGTCAGATAATGTTCTAGATTTGGCCAGTTTACTCAATCAGCCGGAACGACATGAAATCAGGTTTGCGGACTACACCAGCATTGACCGAATAACAATCAAAGGAGAGATGAATGTGTACCTTTCCATGTCCGCATTTTTGCCCAACCCGGATTATGAGGCGGTCTCTTACTTGATCAGCAGGTCAACCTCATCGAATCAAATCAACGTGGTTAGGAAGTCCATTACTCACAAATTAAAGATACGCCCATGGGAGGTGCATCGCATGGTAACAGAACTTGTCCAAGCACACCCAGACTACGAGGAACAAATGTATCAGTTTCAGTTACAATTTCATACGAGTCGAAATAATCTGGCGTTAGTGATTGTGCTCGCTAGGAAGGGAGAGTATGCGGACCGGGAACTGACCGAAGTGATGCATCAGTGGATTATACAAGGGAAACGCGATGCAAAATTTATTTGGCCTGGAACCCAGTTACCAGCCATACGAATGATTCCATTGTTCGTCACTCACATAACTATTTATCGAGTGAATGAAACTGCCATTGTTGAAGCCGAACCTCATGAGATTCACAACAAAGTTCGATATTGCCAGAAACGTCTTTCTCGTGGAAGTCATTATGAACATAACCTACGCCTCTCAGCTCTATCTGGGTCTTACAAATTTTATATGCATTCTGTTCAGGTGGAAGACAGTGGTGCGTATAAATGTCAAACCCCACAAGCTCAAGGTGGAGAGCGCGTTCTTTTCGAAGATCATTATATCATTGTGTTACCCAGAAAGACGGACGTTGCAGCTTTTGTGAACGCTCGACCACCAGGGGAAAGCGATGTGTTAAAGCATACATATCCATACAAGGATGCACTGGGTCGATTTTATTTCAAGCACAACAGACCCATCATTGTTACATGTGTGTATAATTTATCCAAAGGTTTAGATAATTATTTAGGCTACAGACAAACATATAGATCAACAACCAGCCCCATTCGTGACATACCCTACCGACTGTTACAAGAACACACTCGAAGTTATGGCGCCATGTTTTTGAATCTGACATCCTACCAAATAACGCCTGAGTATGCCAAAGATGGGAAAGTGATTGAGACTCGTTTCGAATGTTCCTACTTGTATGAACAGACTTTTAAACTTGTCCGCCATGCGAATCCGATACCTTATAAGGATCGCTTTATAAACGCCGATGTGACACTGATTGCTGTGAGGAACAAACGACCACTTATCATCAGTTCCACAATTCGAACCAACGTACGTGCACTGACACGTGGTTTGAGAAGCGTGGAGTCTACATTTACAAACCTATCCACTTATTTACACACAACCGTCCGAGTTCCGGAGACTGTGATAACCGGTTCTTGCATCGGGCTTCTGTCAGAGCGAGACAGTTGGGGACAAGTCTGGTCGATCACCAGAGTGATAAATTCAACCAACTACGCCCTTCGAACATGCCCCATCAAATCACAGAAAGTTATTACGACCAAAACAAGTGCTTGGCTCAACGCACCAGAGATGCGTTTGTCACATAGTCTGGTTACTATTCAATTTGTTTTTTCTTGCATCGCCGATATGTTCACCGAGGCCATTGGGATTACTTTATACATTGCAGAAGGTAAGGTGGCAAACCAAACCGAGATCTCCCATCAATTCATAAATTCCGTACTTCAATCAGTGACTGCGTTGAATAGAGCACAAGGATATGTACCGATACAACTAAAGGACCAAGCGGTTACACATGCCACCCATATGCGTCTAATTCGAACGACAGTAGGTTGGAGAGCAACTTTGAACATCAGTGATCGAAGCCATATGATATGGAGGATACCAAGAAATGCGCAAACCTTCACAATTCAGTGTCGCTATGGAATCAATTCAACACAACCGGAGGTGGCTTTACCCGATGGATTCGCTTTATTCCGTACCTCATCTGGTCAGTTGTTAGAATTGACCAAAAGACAAGTCCAAGTAACTGATTCCGGTTGGTATTGCTGTTATATAAAGAACTGTTCATCCTGTCCGTTCAAACCCGTGGGTCCGGCGCGTCGTCTTGTCGTTCTACCTAACGAATCGCATTTAAAAGCTCAAGTTGAAATAGAAAAGGAGTTGATTGATATAGACACACTGAAAGTTGATACAAAATTAAATCCATTAACAACAAATGAGCAAAGAATGTTCGTTTATTGTTCCTATTGGATGTATTATGGGATTGAGGCAAACATTACGCTCGGATTTCTTTATGAGACTGGTATGCCGAGAAGCCTAAATCAACTGTCTCTTCCATTTAAACTTCTCCGTGTTGCACGCACCGAATCTCATGATCATTATAGTTTGAAACATATTTATAGCATTGACCGCCCAAATCCGGATACTTACTGGAATTACACAAATGTGACCTGCTTCTTACACATCAGTGAAATAGTTCATGATGTAAAAGATGTATTCGGAAGAAACTTTTATTTGCATTTTTCAAAAAGTTTGTATTTCAAATATGACCTGATTCGTTTTCCGAAGTTAATACCGGAATTCATGCAGACAACAAGTCGCATTCTAACGGAAGCTTTATTACGGAACGAGTCGACCGATTTAAAAAAACTATTTCAAGCTGCCGCACCAATACAACCTTTACGGCTTTTTGGAGCAAGTTATCAAATAAACTGGACTGTATTTTTGGGTATCCCATCAGGTTGGACTGCTGCATGGACGGTGTATCGCACAACAGACAGTGTGATTATTGAACCATGCCACCGATTAACCACAGTGAAACTAGACAATTCAACAGATATGGGAAATGTGACTGCAATGCCACTACATAAAATCAATGCTGGGATTAATTTTTTCAATATCAGTGCAGAATGTGCGTTCCAACCGGAACACATAGGATTGATTGTTTCCGTGTTTGCACATTATACCAATACTACAAATCGAGATGAAGTAGAAGAGTCGCTTATGAACGAAGTCAAGTGGTGGTTTACAAGCGAGCAATGGAGGCCGAATAATACGTCACGATTGGAATGGGCTAAGTATTATTTCAGCTACAGGGCTGTCCCAATGAAAGTGCTTTGGCGTGCCTCCGTTCAGATCGGGGACCTCATTGTGATGGTCGGACGTCGAACTGAAAGCCACCACGAACCTAAGTGTACGTATCGAGCAAGCTCCACTAGTACCCCCATTCCGACTCATAAATCTTTCAAATTGTACAATTTGAGTGCAACCGAATTTGTGCTCCGAAAGACACACGCCGACTATTCAGACTCAGGTATATATGAGTGTGCGATCGAGTGTGAAAATTGTTCAATTCGACTTGGATTCGCTCCACGCGAATTATCTGTCCTCCCGGACGAGTCGGTTTTGCAAATGCACTTGAATTACAAGCCACTTTTGCTAAATCAACTCTCAATGCATCATTTCAATCAATATGATGGATTTAGGAAGCCATACTTATATACCGAACAAACCCTCAGTGTTCGATGTCTTTTTGAACTTTCTCCAATTGCTAAATTGGAAACTTCACCAGTCCTAATTTATCGGATGGATAATCCAGAACGAAAGAAAATGACCACATTACCTATACGTACAGGGGTACAGTTTTTCACTGAGATCCAAGGAAAACCGGTGTTGGTCACAGATTACGAGATTGTTGCTCCCAGTCCAGATAAGTACGCGGGTGAATTACATGTGACTTGCCGGCTTAGTTATGGACACTACATTGCAACCGACAGTGACATAGAGACCAGGAATGAGAGACTGGAAGTGCAAAGAGAATTTTGTTTGTCAGTGAAAATTTTAGCTCGCCCAACAATTTTGACACACCTAGTTCAAACCTCTCATCCAGCACTGTTCGACAATTGGAAGCATGAGAATGCTCTCAACATGTCTGCTCATCAGTTTCATCAATCGGTCTCTAATAGCCGTGTGCGAGAGGCGTATGTCACTATTAGTCTCCTAGTAGGCCTTGGAGTACCCAAAGGAGAGGTTGAAGTTTTGTCCTATTACGAAAATGAAAATGAACTCTATGAAGTTCAGTGTCAAGAAGTTTATCGTCAAGCGATAGAACCTTCAACCATTCCATGGAATTCACTGTATCGGAAAGAGTTTACGAATGCTCGAGGAAATCATATGATTAATTTGACAGTAGGATGTACTCTACAACCGGAACACATAGCCTTGGGATTCGTTGCTTTCCGATTTGAAGAAAATGCTACTGTAATGCATCAGTGGTTACGAAAACAGATACTTCAGTCACTTTCATATTATTTTTCAAATCCCACAAGCAGTGTACCATATGCTTGGAAAATGTGTCCAGGTTGCAGCATATCGTTGGGTTTGGTTAAACTGAAAATTGGTTGGATAGCAACTATTAACAGCGGTGAAAGCTTCTCTATGCTCGTTCGAGGAATACAGCCATCACCTGCTGATGTTTTTATTAGGTACTCAACAGCAATCAGATCGCAACAGATGACATACGCTCGGTTAAAAAGTCTTGGCTTTCCAATGTGGTTCACACATAACAAATCTTCGGAATTAGACAGCGGAATTTATTCATGTATTGCACTACCGAACTGCACAAATTGTACTGCTCAATATTGTTTCATGCCAAGAAAACTGGTAGTCTTGCCACATACTACAATCTCGTATATTTACCTCCGCCGAAAAACGCATCAAGATGGAGAAAAAATGAAAAGTGATTTTCTCCAATCCTCTTTGAGCAATAATGAAACCATCTATGTATATTGTGGTCATTTACACTCTCTTGGGTTGCAGTTTCCTCTGAGAGAAGAGTTTGCGTTTCACTTTATTTTTGCTGCAAATAAAAGCTCCGTCAGAATGAGTCATACGCGACTCAGGAGACATGTGATGAAACTCTCGGCACGTGCCAATGTGGTGTATACGGCTTACCGGATTACTGGGCCTCGTGCTATTTATGATCGTGGTCGGTTGTTGCTTCAGTGCACATTCCATATGGACATCCGAAACTTGGATGCAAAAGATATTCGAAATATCAGCAGAATAGAACCGATTGTTGCGTCGAGGCAGTTGGAATTTACCGTTCGAGTGGCACCAATCCTATTCACGTCACTCATCACATCGAACTCCGCACAACTTCAAACTTATTTGCGAAATACATTAAAGCGAATGAGTAAGTCTGTTGAATTCACTCCTCCAGCAATGGCGATGAGTGAAGGGGTGTACGCAATTTCAAGTTTTGCATCACTGGGATTTCCACGGGGTGTGCAAAATGCGTGGACATTTTTCCGATACGAGTCGATGATTGCTCATGAGGAGTGTTTAATTAAAAACCAAAAAAATCTAACGGAACAATATCTTTCGCGAATGACCACTTGGTATGAGCACTATAAGGAGACGCATGAATTTAATCTGGTCAATACAACGTTTTATTGTGTGTTACGACCTGAACACGAAGCAGTAGCTCTGGTTGCTTACAATTCACGGAGTGAGAGCTACAATCCTATTTCCGTAAAACCGCAGATCCTGGCATCCCTGAGCCAGTGTATCCAGTTTGCCTTAGATAACCCATTAAATACGACAGACCAAAAACTCTAACTTCCAGAAGAATTTATGGTAAATTATGTGTTGACTAGACTGCGACTGGATTGGAAATCAATCCTGAAAATTAACGAGCCGATCAAAATGTTAGGCTTCCAAAGCACAGATACAGTTAATAAAATTGATTGCTTCTACCAAGCAGACAAAAGTCACAAGCGTATACTTCTGCTTCCGCCGTTTAATATATTACCCGGTAAACTAGAGACATGGTTTTGGTTGATCAAAGAGCGAGCCGATTTCACTGATTCGGGTATTTATTTTTGTGAAGTAGCCGCTGCAAGTTGCGATCTTTGTCTCCCACGACCCGGTTTTACGGAACGGCGCTTAAACGTGTTACCGGATTCATCTGTTCTGAAACTTCTTCTCACAAACAAACAACTGAGAAAAGACGACAATTGGCAGTCGTTCTACTCACAAATCGATGCAAGTGGCCAAGCATACATGTTCACTGAAATTATGATATATGCACATTGTCTTTACCTTGCCCCAGCAGGATCTATACTCAAACCGTATGCCACTCTACACTTTCTGACCGTAGAAGGCCACACTGAGGGCAGTTTTCTGACACAAAGTTTAGTTTCGACTTACACTAGAAATTCAAGTGTAATGCAATCCTACAGCTTACTTGCATCGGATATCAGTGGTCATGGTGGTATGGCGAAGGTGGTTTGCGTATTACAATATCAAAGCACTGAATTGCCAAGTGAGACTTTAAACACAGTGTCTTCCAATTTTAAATTGGAAAAGCAAGTATTAGTTCAGATTCGTTATTTTCTCAAGCCTAACATATTTGTCCATTCGATTTTCATGGTAAATAAATCAATCGAATCATTGTTTCGTCGACTGAATATAGACTCGAATAGCATGAAGCAATTCCATTCAGAGGACCGTCTGATCGAAACTGAGGAGACCATACTAGGAGGTTCGTTACTCGTATCCCTGGGCATTCCAAAGGGGTCGATTTGCTGTGTGGACCTATATGCTACACAATGACTCTGATTTGATCCGCGAAAATTGTCTAGTGGAGCAAACAGCAAGTGTGAGACGTGATCAGATCCCGGCAGTCATTTACACGGATCATCTGTACAAATCGGTTAAAGCAAATTGTCTCATCAATGTGACCTTCCACTGTGTGCTCAGACCAGAAAACGTAGCACTCGTGATGCTTGCCCATAATAGTTTGCAGTCTAATATCGACGAGGATTATTCTGAACATTTATTTGCCAATGAGGTCCAGAAACGCGTCAAAGCATGGCTGGATTTTACAGACCCAGATAATGAACTCAATGAACAAATTGTTACTTCTGAGGAATCAAAAAGGAGCTTTCTAATAATGAAGGTTTCTGTTCATTGGTTAATAACCAGAAGAACGGGTACTCGCGTCCAAATGCTTGGTTATGTGGGCAGTCAAGGTGATACGAAGATTAGCTGTTTTGTTAAAAAAACAGCTGATTCTCCGACCGATCATGTTGGTCATGATTTTCAGATTGTTCGGATCTTAAACGGTTTTGCATTCTACTTGACTAAAGTTCGTGCAACATTTGGTGATTCCGGAACTTATTGGTGCACTTCAATCGACAAATGTTTGAATTGCGTTCCCAAGCACAACTTCTTACCTCGTCAATTGATTGTGGCCCCGAATGAATCGATTGTGAAGATTCTACTAACTGGGAGACCGTTTGGACTCCATTCGAAAGAAATGACCAATTTCACACAGTATAGCTTGGACAATAAGCCATATCTTTTGAGCGATCAAAGTGTATATGTTTATTGTGTATATCCGAAATTGAAAATATCCCATATGGAACCTTCTCTGAAATTCACTTACATCTTGGTCAATCCGAAAAATAAGCATCATTTTACCGAGGGCATGGCAACGTCGATAGCGGAATTCCGAGAAGAATTATCTGAAGAGTATAGAATTTTTCAAGGATTTCTCATCACAGCACCAGCTACAGCGGAAGAGGGAACATACCTTAATGTGACTTGTACGATAAACTACAAGGAGAAAAGTATGTCAAATAGGGTATTTGATTTTACAAACAAATCATTGGATATATTTTCTATATCTCAATCACAGAAAATTGAATTTCTAATCAGGTATCGCCCCAAGTTGTTTTTCCAGTATCTTCATTCAAGTAGTCAAGATATTCAGCTGGCATTTCGCAATCAGAAAGAACAAGTTATTCTCAATTCTCCGAGTTTTTATGCCAGTGGCCCAACAGATCGTCTCCTAGAAGGTCTAGTACAGATAAGTATACTTCTGACTGTAGGTAATCCAGAAGGAGTGCCAAGTGTACAGTTATTCTACTGGCACGGAGTACTTCGAGTTGATCGATGCAAGACAATGAATTATTATCAGATTAGCGAAGAAAACTCCTATGACATCAAAGTGACAGAATATCAGTCAAGATCAGAAGTACGTGTGTACATGTATGAAGTTGTTTGCCGTCTGACTCCAGGTCATGTTGCGATTGCGATAATGACAATTAATTCGTTCGATTTAACATCAAATTTAAAAGTGATCGAATGGGCCGCCACAATGTCAATCATCAAAACCATGACTCACTGGATCACACACAAGGATGATAAACAAACGATGCCTATTTATCCGCCACCACACTCAAATATGGATTATTCTCTCATCCGGATTCGCGTGGGCTGGCGTGCGTCAGTTGTAACCGGTGAACCGTTGATCATTTTCGGCTTACTTGGACCGTTAGGTGAAGGTGATCCGAGTTGTAGTTTGTTTGATTCGAATTCCTTAGCTGTTACTCGAGAGATAGCTACCAACAAAGATGACGAGTTTCTTCTACTGGTCAATCGATCCACGGCCAGCTTTGAACTAATCAAACCAAAAACAAGTGAACAAGATGGAAATGTGTATGGTTGCAAATTATTGAACTGTCCAAGATGTGGCACTGTGGAACAATTTCAACCCAGGAGGCTGACAGTGTTTAGCAAGCGCATGGATCTGCTAATCCATTTCACTTCTAAACCATATCCGGAAAACGTTTCATTGCTTGGTGATATTTATACACAAATGGACAAAAAGGGAATCCCCTTTATGTACACGGCACAACGGTTAATGGTCCATTGCGAATGTCGTATGGGAGTGGGTACCAAACTTCCCATAGGATTTCGGTTTACTTTTCGAGAGTACTCGATTGATAAAGCCCCCATGACTCTTCCCTATAATTTATCTTCGTTTAAAATGCGTAAACTCGGCGAATACTGGTCATTTACAGAGTCTTATTTTATCACCAGTCCCTCAACCAGTGCGGACGACAGTCAGTTGGAGGCTACATGTATAATGAATCAAACGTCTGCCCGCTCAGGAGATGATGTGAATGAAATAGCTCATCAAGAGATAGCAATTCAGAGACGGAAGTTACAACTGTCTGTTCCTATAAGTCCCTACATTGTTCCTCAGTCGATTTCGACGCCAAACGAAGAAATAAATAAATTGTTGCAGCAAAATGAAGCCGTGGAACCTAACCCATCTACCTTTATGGAACATGTCAATCGTGAGCCGATTGAAGAAGGTCCGTTCCAACTAAACTTTAGTGTCAGTTTAGGATGGCCAGCTGGGTGGTTCTCAGTTTGGATATTTTTCAATCGTTCTTCTTCATTTTACGCACAACCATGCATTCAAACTGATGAAAGCACTGCTTCAAAGTCAACGGAAGCGTCAAATGTAATGAATGTGACATATGAATGTTACATTCACCCTGAACATGTTGCAATACTTATCTATGTACCGCAAATTCTAGATAATAACTATGATAGGAAACTTGTGGAAAGAACGTTTGTTCAATCTACATCAAAAGCCATGACTCTGTGGTTTCAGAACTACTCAGATTGGGAACGCTATATACTTCGGCAACCTTTGCATTCGTTTGGCATGTACCGCTTTTGCCGCATAAAAGTGGCATGGAGGGCTTCAGTCGCACTGGGATCACAGATTAAAATATTTGGTGCAGTGGAAAAACACTCTTCCAGTCCCATCATTTGTTTTTACGGGTTCGTGAATGCTGACCGGCGTATCAATCCTGATTCTGGATTCTCAATTATTCAAACGGAGAACTATTTCTATTTGCACAAAGCGAGAGCTGACTTCGGCGATTCTGGTGTGTATGAGTGCAGAGTGAAAACATGTTTCGATTGCCAAGCCTACTTGGGTTTTCCTCCTAGACAGTTAGTCGTTTTGCCTAATGCATCATTAATAAGATTCGTTTTCAATAAAATCCAGACTGAAGTTGAAAGTACCAGTTGCGGTGTGGCTAGTGTACCATTGATTCCGCCAGGTCGCGGTGTCTTAGTAAGTTGTATTTATCCAATCATCAAAATTCAGTGGCGAAGAGTGACAAGTAATATATACTTGGGAACCTCGAAAGAAACTGGTATTGAGAGACGCTTGCAAAATGTGATGTTCGATTTGAGAAATCAGGATGAGGGTCTTTTTGCCGAAAGAACGACCGTAGTTCGTGTACCAGACCAAAGAAGAAACATGATCTATTGGAAATTACGGTGTGAAGTGGTTTTTGAAGCTTATCGAGTTCCTTTCGATATGAGAAATGAAATTCCCGCTGAAAAATTAAACAGCACTTTAGACTTCATTTCGATTCAACGAAGAAAACCACATATTTTGAGTGAGACAATTGAGACCAATGTTTTGGAACTAACAAAAGTAATGAGAAATCGAACACTTACTGAATCGAACAAAGAAGCGTTTTCCGAAATACCAATTAAGAACCGTGTTCGAGAAGGGTTGTTGAGTATGGAATGGAAAGCCTTCCTCGGGTCACCACCAGGATGGGTGATTCTATGGTTGGTTTATCAGAAAAGAGAAAAGCTTTACATAGATGTCTGCACCGTGGAAAGTCTAACTAAAATGCGTGTTGAAGAGCCCATCAAAATTCGGGGTCATTGTGTACTTATACCTGGCCACGTCGCACTGTTGATCGGAGCTCTTCAAATTCCGGGAACCAAGTGGACTAGACCTATGGTCGAAGCAGCCATAGAAACATGGCTATTGACCAACTTGACAAAACGGCCGAAGAAGAATAAGGATGAAACATCTGGAATAGGACACGTTGCGTGCTTTGATTATGATATTCGATTGGTACATTTGGAGGTTGGTTGGCAAGCTACAGTCAAAGTCGGCCAGCCTATCGTCATGGTGGGTCGATTAGTCGGCTTGAACAAGAGCAATGTCCAATGTCATTTTCGTGCTTGGAATTCGGATACGACGACAGATTTAGATGCATCGTTCAAGATCAATGTGGGAGACAAGATGAACCAGCTTGAAATAAGGAAAGAACACGCAACATATGATGACAGTGGATGGTACTCGTGTATCACAAACGCCTCGATTAAGGACGACATAATGTCCGGAATTCAAACTCGGAGACTCATAGTCCTTCCACAAGGTGACTCATTGGGATGTAAGGTTACCTTGGATTTGGCCGGTAATCGAGTGATTAACGAATGGCAAAAGACGACTAGGGGAATGCCGTATCTTCTAGCACACCAATCAGGATATGTTCATTGTACCTATGATTCGCTTCTCGATCTCTACTTTCACCCAGAGCATGAGGTGATGTATGAGATTCAAGATGAGAACACAATGAAAACAAATCGTTTAGTCAATCATATGGCCCCCAAATTAGTCGAATCGAAGCTGTCAAACACGAAGCGAACCAATGTTTATCATTTTCGGGGCATCACATCAAAAATGTTCACGGGACTGTTAAAAGTCACCTGCTGCATCCGGTTTGAAAATCTAACAGCCCAAATCGATATCAGTGGTTCAGACGGCACCATCACATTGTCCTGTGAGAATAGGTTTACAATCTTAGAACCGGCCACGGGGGAGCTAAAAATTCAGTCCGATTCACATAATTTTCAAAAACAACCTGTCCCTTTGGGTACGGAATTTGTGTGTTCCGGTGGGTTTGGCGTGCCGCGGTTGACTTATAAATGGATCAGAATTATCCCACCGGTTTTTGGAAAAACGACTATTGATACTGATTTAGCCAGCTTGCTACCTGGTCAAGGAGGTGGATGGGATGGCCCTCACAATCCATTTTTTGATATGCCAAAACATTATCTCTTTACCCATGGACCTATTTTACGTGTACCAAAAGATCCCAGATTCTTGGGCATGAATTACCTTTATGTTTGTGTAGGAAAAAACATAGTGCAAGGGAGGGAACACACCATAAAAAGAGGCCTGCATATATCGGTTCTGATATGCCATGCAGATTACATGAATCTAGACTTGACCATTTTTCTGAGCTCACGACTAATGGCAGCGTGCGCCATTCGAAATAATCCGGACTCACAAATACAATTTTATGGTTATTACTTTATTACTCTTGTCCGTCAGATAGTTTTGGGACTCCCATACGGACCTGATATGGCCAGAATCAATTATTTGATGAGACCAACTCAACAGGATCTTTCGAGTGACAGCCAAATAAAATACCAATGGAGATTATCCTCAAACATGCCAACGCGTTTTGATCTCGCCAAGACAATTTATTCCAAACAGGTGAAACCTATCACCAGTTTTGATGCTTGTGACACGATTCCGGATAGTTTGGAAAGTATAATTCAAGCCCTTGTGGAAATGCGACCTTATAGTACTGAACGAGACTTTGTTGTCTTGCTCACAATAGACTATTTCTTGAACACCACATTGTCGGACGAGGCAATTAAAAATATTCAAGATCTTCACCGTTCGGGAATGAAAGTCGTGGTTGCTTTGACTCATCCGATGAATGCGAAGTTTCAAAGGTTCAATCAACGCATCTCTCAAGTGTTAAAACCAGTCAGTATGATTAATATCTTGCCTTTATTTTCGGGTGCAAAAGATTGTCGGTTATGCCATATGGGTTTAAATGATCTAAAGTTTCAAATTGCCCGGCTACCTTTGTTTGAGGCATTGTGCAAAGCAGCCAGAAGTGCCAAACGCAGTCCGCCACCGAAGCCATATTTTACGTTTTCTGCACCGCCAACACAATGGACCGAGGGTCAACATATTCTCATTATCTGTCTTGCTGATGAGGAGCCAATTCAAGACCGCGCTACGGTAAATGAACTGGGTCTCTGTCGGACGAGTTACAGAAAAGTTCAAAAGGTGAATAGTTCTAATATGAATAAACAGGACGTCAATTATTTGTGTCCTCAAAAGCTTTCCAGTTCCTATTCAAGGCCAACAACTGATCAGTCACGTTTCGCCTCATTCGGGATTTCTGCAACAATTCATTTAAAAAAAGAGATCCAAAACGCACTCATTGTGTGCTACCGTCGGATTGGAGATAGCATACCGAAGGTATGGTTTGAAATTTCGTTCTTCATCAAAATTAGCTATTAAGAGACACTAAAGTAATTCATGCATCATCATTTTTGGGTGTTTATCTACGTTATTCTATCAGATAACATTGTTATTGCAAAAAGATGTCGCATAAGTTTGGTTTGCTCACTTCGTCCACTACTGCTACTTTGTGGTTTAGTTGTCAAAAAATGAAGACTATCAATCTCCTCTGGTCGAAACACACGAATTTTCTCGAGGTGAAAAAATTAAATAATCCTGTTGCACCTTTACATATGTAAAATTGCACTTTATTTTCACTGGTTGTATCTTCCCGTCGAGGAAAATGTTTATTTCCTGTTTGAATACTTCATCCAGAACGTCACTATATGGGCAGAAATCATTTACCCGAAATGATATGATTCGAACGACGCTAAAGTGTTTTTCAACCACCTTATTAAGGATAAAAAGACTTTTCCAGAATTGAATTCTAGCCTCGTGAAAAGAAGAATGATTTCCACGGATTTCAACCGATGCAGCCCAAACGTAAAATTCACAATCAAGAGACAAAGTAGGAATTTACCACCGGAATTTATTAATAGAGTGCATAACCATTCGTTGTCTTGGTTATTAGTTTACTCCACGCATAAATACCTTATTCTGTAAGATCTCAGGGTCCATAATACCGGTACATTCACATACCGGTACATGCTCAATAAGAGCGTAGTTAATCAGCGAAAAATTGAGCAATTGATATTCATGTTTGGGACAATTTAATTTGGCTGTCGAACTGTTTCCCACCAGTGGTACCATCAAAGCTGAATATTTTGCGCATAATGAAAGATATCTTCGTGGTCAGTTTGGAGCAGAATGCTTCGAGAAGTTTTATTGTTCATGTCATTAACTTGTCTTGTTTCTCGAGTTAAGTAGTTTGATAACACGTCGTTAATAATGAGTAACTCACATTTTGACACGAAAGAATCCGAATATCCCGACACTTGCTTCAATCTAACTACCCTCCCATTGAAGGAATCTGAAAACCTTTTGGTGTTTCTGAAATGGCATTATGGGGAGCCGAGTGACATAAATACTGCAATAAGGTACATTCAAACGGTACATCAACAATTTGGTAGAATAAACGCTGAATAGACTTGCGAATGAACTTGCAAACAGAGATGGCTTAGTTAAAAGATTCTGATTTTAGTTACATTGCATTGTGCACATGTAATCTAAATCTGTTCAGTGTACATCATTGGTATTGAATTCGCTTTTAATCAGCCTGATACTGTGGGCGAGGATAAATTATGATCGGATTGGTATTTTAGTCTAAAAGAAGAAGAATACGGTAAAAGACATTGCCTGTAATCAAAAAGAAAGGTGTAAAGCCCGCGGACCAGGCCTCCAAAACTACCCCAAATCCAGAAGAACAAGAAAAAAATCTTACATGAGTTTCGATAACCTCAGCAGTTGGGGGAAAACGTCTGCAAACAGAATCTTCTCGCTCCACATATACGATCCACCAAAAAATTGTTGCAACAGCACCACTCTTGGTCAATGAAATACTTTCATATTTGTATGTACTACTATTACCATTTTAGAGAAAGCGAATAAAATTCTAACGGGGATCCTAAATTTGAAAATTTATCAAACTATCTTTCAAATAAAACATCAAATTCAATTATTTCACTGTGGAAAACATGTTGTACTTCCTTATACTCTGGTAATTCAAACATATCTGCGCCTTTTCAACTTCAAGTGAAACCGTTGTACTTTCAGGTAAATCCAACCAATCGCGGTCTTCACATATCACCGATTGAACCGGGTCTATCCACTCCCGTTCATTCGGAATGAACTGATTTTGTCATAGACAAACAAAAGTACTTTTCGAGTGAGTTACGAGCGTGGAGAAAAGTTTCGGAGGAGTGTGAATTGGCCATTCATCCCCTCATCTCACCCAGGAGTGGTAGGCCCTTGTCATTGACATAATTGCATCTGAACAATACGGCTGAATCTAAACTCATTCACTGGCTACAGGAAAATACATTAATCCGCTGCAATTGCTGGATTGGATATTGCATTCTGTGTACATTGCCAATGACAACAACCGGACAAATACAGCTTCTCCCTTCATTACTTAGCATCGTCACACAGTTTCTTATCCCTGTTGCATCATTTCACATCCGAGTAGTATCTTTTCACAGCCTCAGTACATTCGAACGATCCTGATAGTTTAGTGAGACAGATGGGGATGAGAATGAATTCCAGTCATACATGGTTCCGCAGACGATGTTAACTTTGCTCAGAGGGCTTTATGGGGTATTACATTGAGATAAGTACAGTATTTGACCCACGGTTACCTTATTCTTGGTCAGTGACTTACTCCAATGTGATGATGAGTTGCCTTAGTTGAAAAAAAATCATGAATAATCTTGGGTTTAATGTGTATTTGAAAGATTGGGGATTTCCTTTTTGGGTCTATGAACTCCGATTTAACACCGAGATGCACCGTTTATAGTCAAGACTCAGGCTAGCTGCAATGTATTTTGACAAGGTAGAATCATCCTTAGCAAAGGTATTTGAGGCAGAAATGCGCAGAACAACTATAAGCAAACGCGCGTTATAATGTACTCGGGTTTGAGACTCATTCTCAAACCGAGCAGCGAAAATCACGTTTTCGAGCAAACCAGTGATGACCAATGAATGCGGGTTATGCATTTCGCCCGAGGACGAGATTCGGAAATTCTAGTTTAACAGAATATAGTCAGCATTAAAATTCATTGAAGCATAGTGGTAACTGATAGGGAAACTGTACTGAGGAGTTCATGTAACCAGAGAATATTCAAATAAATATATGAATATGCAGTGTATCCTTTGTGGCTCCAAACAGCTTCCAACAAATTATATTTCGGTAAAGTAAGTTAAAAAGAATAGAGAATAAGGTTACATGGTCATTTAGGATTCATATTTTCCTGAAAGTTGTACATTTGTATATTCAATAACTGAAGTGAGAAGAGGAGGCGATTACCGGTACTTAACGTTTTGATTTGCCTATGGACTTTCTCTTGGTTGCAAAGCTGTACTTACATTTTCCAGCTGCTTAATGCAGTGCGGTACAAGTTCTCTCCTTTGCTTCTTTGCTTATACACTCATCAAGTTTGGCCCTTTAGGACTTGTCTTCAATGAGACAGTAATTGTAGATAGAACGCAAGAATCAATCCGGGAATTGCAGCGAATAAATCTGATTTCCAGTAGCCAGTAAATGAGCTTAGTCATAAGGTTAGGTCATGCTGTTCAGATGCACCTATGTCAATTCCTTCGCCATATCCTTGTGTACTTCATATTCATTCATTCATAAAATTTAAAAATAATGACTGTATCCCAGACTAGTTAAGTGTCGGTACAATGTCATCATCGCATCAACGTTTTCCATTCCGGATTGCCCGTATGGTGCATCGCTCCATCACTGATTCGCTACCAACGCTTAAGCAGCATAGAATTCATAACCCACCCAACAGCCACACAATCGATCGGGTTCACTTATACATCAGTAAGGAAGGTTTAAGCAGAAAGAAAGCATTTGATGCTTGCCCAGATAACCAACTAACCTTAGCGAGAACCAACACCTTATCCACAACCTCCAGCCTTTGGAGTGCTCAAATGAACTTTGACTGTATACAGCAGGAGTGACATCATCACGCGACTGGATTACAAGTGACGATAAGAGCATCACGAACTTTACGAACCGGTGAGCAGACAGTCTCGAGTCGGGTTGAGGGATTCCAAGTTGCGCAAGTGGAAAAATGATCCAATCAGATAGTGGAAAGGGTCAGAGTGAACTTAATTGTTTGAAGTCAGGGGGTGCGAGAAACAAGATGGTGTCAAACAATGGAGCAGTCGCACTTTACCATCCGCTAAGGAAGCCCAACTCACTCTCGTGGAGGAGCTGTTTTCCCCACCAAAGTGAGAGGACGAAAAGCCAATATCCGGGACTATAACCGGGTTGGTTCATCCATGGGTTTGGCTAAAACCCTGATTCCAAACCAACCAAGAAGAGGCATA